AATATGAAATGTCCACTTTCAACTGAAAGACTACAGTAGTAAAACTATGTATACATAGTATGGAGTCAACAAATATTTAAGTGAAAGGCGCCTGAGTGGCTCAGTCGTTAAGCATCTGCCTTCAGCTCAGGTCATGATCCCAGGGTCCTGGGATGGAGCCCCACATCGGGCTCCCTGCTCAACAGGAAGCCTGCTTCTCCCTCTCCCACTCCCCCAGCTTGTGTTCCCTCTCTTGCTATCTCTCTTTCTGTCAAATAAATAAATAAAATCTTAAAAAAAAAAGATGCTATTCAAATAAACCAGGTGATAGTTTTCATGGTATTAGAACAAAAACTATTTATTTATACAGTATATTTATATGGTGCCTTCTCTCCAAATAATAATAGTATTTGTTAACTACAGGCACTCAGCAGATATGACAATGCTGAGTTTCAATTCATTCACAAAGGGAAAAAAAAATTCCAAATAATTAAACTAGCTTCCAAACTATGTTATATTTGTTACCTTGATCAAACTAGTACTAGAAAAGTAAACAGCCATCTGCGACAGATTGTTCTAGCTCCTTAAAATAAAATCTGGGAACCATGAGTAAAAATAGTCCAGCTAACATTGGTGATTCTGTGTAAGTACATTCAACTACTATGCCCAATCACTAGGTCTCAGAAATTCAATTTTAATTCTATTGTAAAAGGAAGAAATATGACAAGGAGAGAATTTTGATGCATTTCTATTGCATACTTGTTCTATCTTACATCTAATCAAGATCAACTATCCTAGGGATGCCTGGGTGGCTCAGTCGGTTAAGCGTCTGCCTTCAGCTCAGGTCATGATCCCAGGGTCCTGAAATTGAGCCCCTTGTTGGGCTCCCTGCTCAGCAGGGAGCCTGCTTCTCCCTCTCCCTCTGCCCCTCCCCCCTGCTCATGCTCTGTGTCTCTCTCTCTCAAATAAATAAATAAAATCTAAAAAAAAAAATCAACTATCCTAATATTCCCCTTTTGGAACTAGTACTGGCTTAGTATATGGTAGTCTCCTGCTAATCCACCCACAGTCCAGAAGCAGATGATCTTCCTTCTGATGTATAGTCAGAACATCAATAGTAACCCAAGGCTACATCACATCGCCTACATCATTCACCTCTTTTCATCTCATCACATAGGCATTTTATCATCTTGATAAAATGATAAGAAGTCATCACAAGAATGAATTCAGCACAATAAGATAATTTGAGAGAGACCACATTCTCATAACTTTATTACAATATACTGTTTTAATTGTTCTATCTTATTATTGTTGTTAAACTTTTATTATGCCTAATTTATAAATTAAACTTTATTGTAGGTATGTACTCATAGAAAAAAACAGTATATATCATTTCAGTACGATCCATGGTTTCAGGCATCCACTGGGGGTCTTGAAATGTATCCCCCTCAGATAAGAGGGGATTACTGTACTTCTTTCTAGGCTTACTTTTTTCTCCATTCAAAATAATGCATGCAAAATCTTTCAGAAAATACGAAAAGAGCAAATGCATAAATGAAAATGCATAATTTGCATTTATGGGCAAATATGGGGAAAAGCCAGAGAGCCAGCATGGGACAGTCCAAAAATCAAACACGGAAAAGGGAAATAATCAAATGTTTAATAATGTTAGTAAAACTTTATGATAAAGATGCAGACATCAAATTAGGTTTCATAAATGAAGTATGCTAAAAGGAACTATCAGCCAATCTAAAATACACAGCATGATCTAAATCTATGACAAATATACTAAAGAATATAAATATACATCTTGAATAAGTCTTAGTCATAATAGATTATCTTGAATTCCCTTATCAACAAATGTACATAAAAATGAAAGAAGTATTTGATTATATGAGCTATGTGATTTATAGAATGGCAGAAAGTTTGGCTTACAGAAGAAAATAATTGTTTCAAATATAAGAGACGATTATTATTCTTTTTTCTTCTTTTTTTTAGGGGGGAGGGGCAGAGGAAGAAGGAGGGAATCCTAAGTAGGTTCCACACCCAGCACATGAGCCTGACACAGGGCTCCATCTCACAACCCTGAGATCATGAACTGAGCTGAAATCATGAGTTGGACGCTTAAATGACTGAGCCACCCAGGGGCCCTCTTATTCTTTATACTTTACACATAAATATGATTTCATATGTAATATATATGAAACAATGTTAAGTGTGACAAAAATCTGAGCCAACGATTATTGATGGAAGTGGTAAAATATACACATTCATCCAATCCATTTTTGATACTTTTTAAAATAAAATAGATCATAAAAATATGAATTAGGCAGGAAAAACAGACAATTTCTCCTCATTTTCCTTGAGAAAGTTAGCAGTAAAGATTTACTGGTGCTTTTAAAGAGATGGTATGTAGATGTCTGTGTGTGGTGTACTCTCTTTAAAAGCACCAGTAAACATTTATTGCACACTATGTACACACACACACACACACCCCAAATTACTTGAAAGTAACTTTTTATCTCTAAAGTCCCCCCAAAACCAACCTCCATCACAAATATTTCCTTAACCACATAGAAAGTACTGATACTCTTCTACTCATAATCCCAGAGATAAATTACAAAAATAAATCCCATAAAAGAAATGGTCATACTATAAGTAACTGTATTTTTGTTATATCTGTAGGCTTAATATTTATGTGTCTTACTACTTACTTATTGAATTGAAACTCAACTCTTCCACTTGCCAGTTAAATCTGATTCTTGACTGTCCTATGCAAGTTATTGAACATCTCTGTGTTTCAGTTTCTCATCAGTAAAATGTAAATAACAGGACATACTTCACAGGGTGCTGAAACTGATTAAAACGTGTATAACAGGACTGGCACAGAGTAAGGGCTATATAAGGGTGAGCATTAAAACTAGTACTTCTAGTAATAGTACTCCATCTTCCCAAACATATTAAAAACATTCTGAACAATTTGAATTACTGATTAAAATTAGATACTATCAAAAACAGACATTAAATCTGAAGCCTGATTAACAGTAAGTTTAAAGTCCTGCAACTCGGAAAAGAATAGATCATTAATAGATCCACATAACCACCCTGTCAAGAACAATCGGAGGAGAGTGGTTTTCCCAAGTGCAACTATCAATTTCTTCCCTTACACAAGGGGGCAGTGATAACAAGAAAAGAATGGGGCTCTGCAACACCTCTTCCTACAGACAGTAGGGGGTGGCAGTACATATGGCTTACAGTCAGAACAAAACAGGAAGACCCAACAGAACTGCTCTTTATTCTCCTCTGGCCCTCTCCTCTCTGCTTTAGCCCCAACATAGCCTCAAGATGAGGGATGTATCTATAGAAAACACTAAAACCCAGTATTAATCACCAAGTAAAATCCAGTTTTGTCTTTAAAGCAAATGATCCCTCAGTGGCTGAATGTGGATGCAGGAAGAAGCCCATAGTATGAATTTTCAGATTAGCTAGCAAATTACTTACTGTTATAATAAGAACAACATTCTTCAGGCAAGTCATTCAATTTCTCTACAATAATCACAACATAAAATACTAAAATCTCAATCATTAACTATATTCTAATGAACACAGCCAGATATTTCTGCTTGTTTCATACCACTCATTGAATGTACATATGTAAGTTATATTACACAGCTCATTGAACTATCTTTTGTTACTCCTGAAATTCCAGCTATTTTCTGACAATCTTCTCAAAACACAGATGTTCTTCTTAAATGGAAGTCACAATGTTTCGCAGCATGTGGGTAATTTCATATACAAAGACAGAAACAGAGAGATAGAGAAAGAATATTTAATATTTTATTCTTGTGCTCACATTCCTAAGATGATGTACCTGGGAAATGCTGACAGTATCCATGTTGCTGCTTTTTATGCTACATTTACTGTATTCAATTTTTTCCCCATTTTGCCACCCCAACACCAAGAACATGCAAGAATAGATCACTACTGTCATTCACTGTAATTAACCACTGCAACAGCTTTTGGCTCCAACCCCTCAAAATGCCTGAAAATTTATCCCTTTTGTTCACCATATTGTTTTGTTTTCCTCATTCCAGATATTTTCACCTGTGTGAAAATGAAGACAGGGGCACACAGGAAAAAAATCCCTTTGCCTAATGATCTTGAACTCAGAATTACGATCAAGATGTGGTGTTTTTCTGTTTATTGTTTTTCTTTTCCTGGAGAGGAGCAGAGAACAGAAAGACACCCGAAACACCAAATCTTCCTAATGTTTATTATCATTGTTTATGTTTTGTGAAACCCATTTTACACAACTGAAATAAAAGACAGGATACAATTATAACAGTGCTTCTCTCCAAGCTGACGGCAAAACCTGGAATTATTTTAGCCTTATTTTTTCTTTCCCATCTCACAACCAGACACAATATGCTTTTTTTCTTTCACGTGGGTACGTACTATCTCTATCTCAAAAAATAGCATATCATAGCTCCTCTCGATTTCCTGTGATAAAATATCTAGCAATGAGCCTTATTAATCTTTTCTTACACTACATCTCCTTTCCCAGAGGGATTGTTAATATCGCACACAACACTTCTACCATGAATTTCAATGCCACACAGGCCAATCCACCCTGCGCCTTACCTGGCACATTTCACAACTACTTTTTATGCTGCATTCTGGGGGCACATTTTGCAACTCGTTCTGCACCACATTGCCTGCCACGTTTAGCAATCTGCCTCGCATCTCATCCTGGGTCCCCGTCATCTAGAGGCTCTCTCGGTACCAAATTCCATGACACCTTCGGTGACACCGAAGTGACCGTCCCCGGCCCCATCTGAAGCCACCCTGAGTGCCACATTTGGAGCCAACCTTCCCCACACCTTGGACACCGGAGGCACTTCGCTGCCCATTCCGCTGCTTCCCTGCTCGCCCCCGCCCCTCTCCCTGGAGCCGAGGCATTGGAGGCGAACGCCCCTGTCACTGAGGCGACCCCTCCTTCCGCCGCTCCCCGGGTCTCTTACCTGCCGCTCTGAGGGGCTCGCTGCAACTCCGGGTCAAGCCCCAGCCCCCGGGATCCCCAGTGAGGACCGCGCCGCCAGCCGGCGCCGCCCGCGATTCCCAGAGCACCTCGCTGCGCTCCAACGCCCGCGGTGGGTCTGCGCCCCGGAAAGGCGCGGCGGGGCCTCGCGGCGGGCAAGCGCAGCCCGCGGCGGTCCTCTTGTCAGCGGCGGCGCGGGTGCAGGCTCTCGCCCCTCAGCGCGGCGGCGGCGGCGGCGGCGGCGGCGGTGGCGGCGGCGGCGGACGCCTTGCTCCGCCTCGCGCGCGGCACAGCCGGGAGGTGAGCGCGAGGGGGATGGGATCGGGGGCGGGGCCGCCCGGAGGAGGCGCGGAGGGCGGCGGCGGGAGGGCAGCGCCGGCAGCCCCGAGCCCGGCGCTCGGAGTGCTCGCAGCTTCCCCCGCCCGACGGGCGGCTCGCGCGAGGCGGCTGTGCCAGCGGGCCCCGCCGGAGCAGCGCGCCCAGCAACCCGCGCCCGGCCGGCCGCTCGCTAGCGCCGCCGCCGCGCCGGGGGCGTCGCCCCCTCCGAGGCCGCCCGCAGCCCCGCCCCCTCCGGGCCGGGGTGGGGAGGAGCGCGAGCGCGGAGGGAGAGCGCGTGCGTGGGGGCGCGTGCGCGGTGGAGCGCGCGCGCCCCCGCCCCCTCCACAGTTTGGGGGTGGGGAGCGGCTGGGAGAGAGAGTGAAGACCGAATCCTTCCCTGCGCCGGGAGGTTGGGCCCTGACTGTGCCGCTCTGTGAGCTCTGGGCATTTCTCGTTTCCTCAGGGGGCTCTGACTGGTGGGGTCGAGGGTTTTGGTGGGGAAGAAGGGTGGAAGCTCAATAGCAGACAAGGCCCTAAATAGTTCGGCTCCGCCCCCGGAGGGGTGATGTCACTCTTGAGGTGCTGCTGCTGTCACGTGCGCTCACTTCTGGGCCTGTCCTCCTGCTTTAATGGGCTGAACGTTCCTCTGGATTTCCCCCACTTCAGTCACCTTACGTACATATCACTCCTGGAATCATCAAACTCTACATATGTCGGTTATTCTTTGCCTGATGCCCAACTGTAATATGTAAACTGCTTCAAATGCCACAGTTGGCTGTGGTGGGAAGCAGAATGAGGTGCAAAACCAGCCCTGGGTGGGTAGGTGGATGGGGAGGGAGGAGAGAGAAGGGAGACTATGTTATCTAGAATAATTGCTGAAAATTCACCGACCGCAGCTTGAGAGCCTGAGGTGAGGTTGTGACGCTGCTTCTGTCGCTGCCCGACTGGACAAGAGGTAATGTGGTTTTAAGAGCTAGTAGGCAAGGCACGGAAAGCCACCACATTAAAGCCTCCTCGGAGGTCTTACTTCCCCCATTAACCCTACACCTAGATCTTCTTCCCCTTTTTCTTTCCTTTGCATCATAAAACAGCAAGTCAACTGTGGAAGATGTCTGGACATAAATTTTTCCGTGGGCTGTAAGATGATGCAAAGCAATCACTATTACATACTCTGCCAGGCTAATCTTCCCGTCCATAAACTGAGACGACCTTTCCTGGTCATCTATTCCCTAATGAGACGCCATGATTGTAAATAGATGCCCCTAAATTACTTCAGTCAAGGAACCTGTGTCTGTGGTGTTCCCAAGATAGTTTTGTTTGTTTGCTAACAGTCCTTTGAATCTACTTCATCCAGGAGTTTCTTTGGTTTTTTAAAAATTAGTATTAACTTCGGAATAATACAGGAAATTGAATATGAAGCCATTTTCAACAGCTAGTCTCTATAACGAATGCTTGAAAAGTTAGAGCAGCTTTGAATACTACAGCTAAAATGGCAAGGTGAAGGATTGATATATGGAATCTTTTGGTGGTAACTCCAAAAACTTAGATTACTCTAGCTATAACCTATCTATGGTGATAGTCGCATTGTAGTGATTATTTATGGGGGATTTGACAGGGCAAGAGGGAGCCTTCTGGGTTGCTAGAAATGTTCAATATCTTGATCTAACTAATGACTCTAAGGGTTAATATATATGCAAAAAGATTTATTCATACACACAAAGAGGCACTACTACAACATCATCATGATCGGAGTCTGGAAACCTGGGTTTAAATCTCAGTGTCAAAAAAATAAAAAAATCTCAGTGTCACCCACCACTTACCAGCTATGTGACCTTAAGCAAGTCTCCAAGCCTTCTTTTCTTCATCTGTCTAATGTGAGTGATGATACCTCACAGAATGGTTGTAAAAATTAAATGAAATTATCTTTGAAAAATAGCACAGAGCCTGGTATAGAGTAAGTGCTTAGGAAGCAGTAGCTTATTCTTTTTGCACCCAGATTTACCCTATTCGATTCTCCTTTGGGTTTTTTGTTTGTTTATTTTAAAGATTACTTTGAATCTCAGCCTTTGTGAGTTTCACTGAGGCTAATATTCTTTCCCACAAGAAATAACAAAAGGCAGTCAGGGGTGTACTGTGTTAGTTTTCAAACTAGTTCAGGTAGAAGTACTTAGAAATTATTGTGCTCATTGTGGAACACCATGAAATATTGATAGATTTAATTCTGCCATATGGACATGACAATTTTACCAGCACTAAATCTAGCTATATTATGTTTATGCAGATCTCTCACATATTTTAAAAAAATGTATTTTTAAGAAATAATAGGTCCATGTTTTTCCTTTAAAATTTGTTTGCAACTTTTCACAAAGTAGAAAGTACCAAAAGTTTAATAACAATTCACAAAATGAAAACCTTGAAGTCCATTTTTCCTAGAAATTAGAAAAACACTGTAATTGTTCAGTTTTAGCAGCAGAGTTCTCTTTATTGGATTTTCCCACAGTAAGCTCTAATAGCTGTGACCCACAGGGTCTCTTGCTCTGATGAAGTGAGTAACTCTGACTCACTGTCCTCATCATACTCCCAAAGATCAGTCTCCATTTCTTTTGGCTGACCTTTCCCAGATCCCATGCTCACACTGAGCAGTACGAATACCCACTGAATGAACTCCCTGCCTTGCTGTTTTGATCATCCAGCATGATTCTATTCAGCCCATTCTCTTCCACATAACACTGCTGTTAAGTCTTGCAATTTGCTGCCACAGTCTAACTTTGTGGAGGAAACCCTGTGTCCCTGACAGAGGTAAGGGTGGGGTATAGTAGGGATGGTGAGCAACACTGTAGAGAGAAGTCAACCCTGTTCTCAGCTCTTCTCCCTGATTTGCTTTTCTGTCAGTGATACCTGAAATCCTGAGAATGCTAATTTTTTAACCTACTAAAAGTCCATTCTAGTCAAAATGACCATTTAGTCTGTAACTTAAATTTGGAAACATAATGCATGCCATGTAAGAGGAACATGCAAATGTGCATAAATTAGCCCAACCTTACCTTATACCTACCAACTCATCAGTGCCATCTGTACCAGTCAAAATGCCCTTTCTTGGTCTATCAACTCTGCACACTTGTACTCACCTCTGCATATGTCTTCCCCTGGTACCTCTAAGTCTCTGAAGCAAACCATCAGGCTCACCTTGCCTACCCTTTTTCCTCAATTCTCTCCCTGTTGAATAAAGAATAATGATATCCACTATTGATTGATTGCCTACTGGCCACAAATGCTTTACCAAATGCCTTAAATATTCTTTCTCATTTAATTCTCACAACATCCCATCAATATTAACTCAGTTTTCTAGATTGTTGAGGGGGGGGGCTTTGAGAGGTTAAATGCCCAGGTCAAGATCACACTGAATGGGTGGGCAGAGCCACAATCTAAACCCAAACAAACTTTATCCTCTATCAGTTACCCTCAAGATAATGGCCTATGAAATATAAATGAGAACACAGAATACATCATTTGAAAAATGTGAACCATATTATACCATGAAAGTATATCTCAAAAGTTGATTTAAAAGAGATTTTTCTCATTGATTGTTTTTCATAATCTCCTTTCTTTTTAACTGCAATTAATAATTCCAAACTCAATAGCTTCAACATTTTCCCCACCAACCCCCACCTTGGTCTTTTGATGAATATTTAATAATTTCAAGACTAACACTTAAAAGCATTTCCACATAGAGGAAATACTACTTAAAAGAAGTTTCCAGGGCGCCTGGGTGGCTCAGACGGTTAAGCGTCTGCCTTTGGCTCAGGTCATGATCTCAGGGTCCTGGGATCAAGCCCCACATCGGGAATCCCTGCTCAGCGGGGAGCCTGCTTCTCCCTCTGCCTCTGCCTGCTGCTTCCTCTGCTTGTGCTCTCTCTCTGTCAAAAAAAAAAAGTTTCCAGTATATCTCTTTTTTTTTTTTCGGAAACTGAAAAATTCATGTACAGTATGAAGAAGCAAAACTCCATATATTTTTACATTGACATTTATAAATACTTGACAAGTATTTGTGCCTACTGTATGCTTATAACTGTGGTAAGTACCACAGAGTATACTTAACTAATTTGAGAGATGTCTTGCCTACTAGAAACACATAATCTATTCAGGAAACAAAATACTTTAAATATTTAAATATTAATACAGCATAATATAGAACTAAGTGTTAAAACATGAGTTAAACAGTAGGTTCTGTGATCATCCTTAAAAGGAAGAAAGATATGTTTGACTGGAATGGTATGAGACTGCTACTTGAGGAAAGTAGAATAGGAAAAAATACAGATGGAAAGAAGGAAGAACTATTCCAGGGAGGACCCTAGAGAATCAACAAAAGTTTAAAGCAGGGAATAAGTATAAGAACTCTTAAGTCAAAGAATAAGTCCCTTTTGGAGGTGAGTTGCTTTCTTAACAAAGACAAGTATTGGTGTGAACTACAAATAGACAAGGTGCAAATCGAAAGAAACAGACCAATGAGCAACAAGTGTGGATGAATAGAAGAGTATTTACTAGTTAAGAGATAAAGCATCTGGTAACATCTTACCAACATCTGGTTGGTGAGAGGTTAGAAAAATGGCCCAGGACCAAACTGCAGAGGGTGCTGCCCAGAAAAGGAAGATACCATGATGTCTTTGAATAGAAGAATGACAAGAAGACAGTGTTTAAAACTTTATCTAGTTGGGTGGATTTCAGCACGGAAGGACTAGTGTTACGGACATGGTTAAGAAGATATTACTA